ATTGTTATCAGTCCGATTTAATAAGCCACCTGCTATCAGTTGCATCAGACTGTAATACTGCGTCGCGGCTTATCGTTCGTTATCAGTTGCATCAGATTGTAACTAGTAGCTAGGCCTACCCTAGTTACATATATATATATATATATATATATATATATATATATATATACATACGTACATATATACATAGATTTATACTGACCATATTGATACATGATCATTATAGTTACAATGGCTAGCTGGTCCGGTCACGTGATAATGTGACCAGTACGAGCTGTGTTGTGTCACACCTGTAGGTCTTACATACAAACACAAGCTGCTGTTGTTGATGAACTTTATTTTTTACAGGAGATTATATTAACGGCCTTCAGCTTATCGGTGGAACGATTATTTCTTGAGTGTTCGTTATACACAATCGCAGATTCGTAATTTGACTCCGAATAAGCAAAAAATATTTAGTAAGTGGTCGAAAAAAATATCTTTCTTTTATTAAAAAAAATGCAAAAAAAAAGAAAAAAGAAAAAAAAGCAACAAAGCAGAGGCGTAGCTAGGGGGGGGGGGGGCGGGGGGGGGGGGGGGGGGGGGGCGGCCGCCCCGGGCGCCGACCCTATGGGGGCGCCAAAAGGGGTGGGAAAATTTTTTTAAAGCTGATTTTATGCTGCAGTTTTGAATTATAAACTGTCTAAGTTAAGAAATGTAATGGCTACACGCATTTACATACTGATTTAACTGTTTTCTATCTTGATTTCTTAATGTAAAACATATACTCTTAAGAAACAGTGACCGGCAAAACCGCTTTGAAGCTTATCCTAGATGGGGGGGGGGGGGGGGGCGCTTTTTCCAGACTTAAAACGGAAGAATTTACACTAGATTGTTGAGTCGATAAACGTTACCACTATTAAAAGAAACCAATTGTATTAGAACGTATTGTACGATTGTTGAACTGTAAAATACGTTAGTGACTTTTATCAAGATGGTGCAGGGGGGCGCTTTTAGGCTAAATAAAATAGCAAAATTACACAGGATTCTGAGTAAACAACCTTTAGCTCTCAGAAAGAAACGAATTGTACTGTGCATTGTATAATTGTGTAACATTTTTTTTAAAAAAGTTAGTTACGTTAAAAACCGCTCTACAAACTTTGTCCAAGATGGTTGTGATGAGTGTGTGTGGGGGTGGGGGGGGGGGGGCGCTTTTTTCGCTAACAAAAATCGCAAGTATTTGTACTGGATTGGTGAGTAGATAACTCTCTTAACACTTAGTAAAGAAACCAAGTGTATTAACGCGTAATGTACAATTTCAATAGCCAGTTTTGTTAAAAAAAAGACGCGACTAGTTCTTTGTAAGATTCTTACGATTCTCTCAACTTCAACGTGAGAGATCAGATACTTTTGATTAGTGTTTCTTCCAGACTTTTTCTCCGGGGGGGGGGGGGCACTTGAAATCTTCGGGGGGAGGGGGGAGGCGGTAAACTTTCTTCGGGGGGGGGGGGGGCGGACACTGTTAAAAGTATATATTTTCTATATATAAATTATATAAATTTCATTTCGTTCGGGGGGGGGCGTAAAAATTTTTCCGGGGGGCTTCGCCCCCCCGAAAAGATGCCTGGAAGAAACTGTGTGCGAGAAGGCAGGGCAAATCTGCGAAATCCAAGACTACAAGCTGTTAACATCCGTTGGATTCCAGTTTGTTTTCTCTAGCTTGTTTTGTCATACCATCAACCAATCAACGAAATACCCATGTCGTATTCCAATGTGAACAATAAATATTTCTGATAACTTCTTCTTGTATGTGACTTGTGTGTCCTTACTCTAACAAACTTCGAATCCAACTATGTACCATATCACAACAGAGATCGTTCAAAACTAGAACATAAAAGGTTGGTCTAAACATATTAGCGTTAGCTACAAACTACCCTCTAACACAGATCAGGCTTATTTTTTTAAACTGACATTACTAATCTTTCGCAAAAAAAGTTAAACGCATCTTAATGGGAATTAGATTGTCGTAAAGTTTTAAGGAATGAAAATCATACAATGTAATTATTAAACCTTGTCCGGACTGTAGCATACACGCTTACACACACAAATACACACACAAATACACTCTTACCCACACACAAGCTTATATATAAACACACTATCACACACACATAATTATACACACACACACACACACACACACACACACACATATATATATATATATATATATATATATATATATATATATATATATATATATATATATATATATATATATGTATATATATATATATATATATATATATATATATATATATATATATATATATATATATATATATATATATATATATATATATATATATATATAAATAAGCGGGGGGGGCGCCAAATTGAAAGTTCGCCCCGGGCGCCGGGAAGGGTCGCTACGCCTCTGCAACAAAGAAAAACAGCAGAAATAAAGCAAGGTATAGGCCTATAATCTCTATAGAATATCGGCCTAAATGAATTTTAAAGCATAAAGGGAAGCAACCAAAATATTACTAACAAGTAATACGTTTCTCTCTGTTACTTCCCTTAAAGATACGTCAAATACATAAGTCCCCTGCAACACAACACTATTTCAAAAGATTAATTTAAAACAATTTGTTTCCATGCGTGGTATACAAGTTATTGTGCAAATACATAATACTATAATTGGATATTATGACCCACTCCTAACCCATACAACGTTATATAACACACCTTTAAGCCTCCATTGCAACCGCTTACCTACAACAACTTATATACGTTCATGTAAAAAATGTGTTTAATGAAGTTTTCTTCTCGAAAGTTAGTGACTTAGCTTCACGGGCGCCCTTGTGGGAGCGCCTTAGACGCGCCCAAAGTTTGTCCAACAATTAGGGAGAGTGTAACCTCTTGTGACATGCTGATGTATGTACAAAAAACACCACGGTTTTCACACAACAAAAAACACTATGGTTTTCACACAAAGAACAACACGGTTTTCACACAACAAAAAACACTATGGTTTTCACACAAAGAACAACACGGTTTTCACACAACAAAAAACACTATGGTTTTCACACAAAGAACAACACGGTTTTCACACAACAAAGAACACTATGGTTTTCACACAAAGAACAACACGGTTTTCACACAACAAAGAACACTATGGTTTTCACACAAAGAACAACACGGTTTGCACACAACAAAGAACACTATGGTTTTCACACAAAGAACAACACGGTTTTCACACAACAAAGAACACTATGGTTTTCACACAAAGAACAACACGGTTTTCACACAACAAAGAACACTATGGTTTTCACACAAAGAACACCACGGTTTTCACACAACAAAGAACACTATGGTTTTCACACAAAAAACACAACGGTTTTCACACAAAAAACACAACGGTTTTCACATAACCAAAAACACCACCGTTTTCACACCACAAAGAAACACCACAGTTTTCACACAACAAAGAAACACTATGGTTTTCACACAAAGAACAACGCGGTTTTCAAACAAAGAACACTAACGTTTTACCCAACAAAAATCACCAGTTTTCACACGAGGCAAAAACCGCACGAATTTTGCAATTTTTATGTCACGTGATCGCCCAGCTCATGACCTTTGTAATTTACATATTAGCCTCTGGTGAACTTTCAGAATCAAAACGAGGACAGACACCGCCCAAGAGCGCTGACAAGATTTCCGCATTAATTTTGATTTGTAGGCAGCCAACATCGCAATATAAACAACCACGCCCAGCCGCCGATACCGGAAGTTCTCTGAACGACCTTGACACCTCCGTCGCCAGGGCTGTAAGATGTTGGCCATGCTGACACCCCCCCCCCCCCCCCTCGGTATTTGAACATTCTGTTAAGTGTCGTGATATACCCCTTCCCCCCCCCCCCCCTCACACACAAGCCCACCACAATGTTGATAGACGCTTTTTGTGACGTCATGTGTACTCCAGGCCAGACGACCTTGACACGATATGGAATGTGTGGGAAATGAGGTAATGTACAGTTGCAGTGATACATTGTTCTCTAACATCACTGTATTTTATTGGCAAGTCGCTGACAGTTGTTTCCTTATTGATTTAATGATAATAGTCTCTGATATATTACATACTCATCATCACTATCCTCACCACCATCAACCTAACCATCACCATCACCATCATAATCAAATCATCACCATGAACAATAGTAATAGCAACACCACCAACACCACCACAACCACCATCAACATCAACAACACCATCAACACATTACATCAACATCAACATTAGTATCAACATCAATATAATTAATCAACATTCTTAATATCATCATAGTTAGATTAAAAAAGTACTTTATATATATATATATATATATATATATATATATATATATATATATATATATATATATATATATATATATATACAAATGTTAAGCAAGTTCCAAGGATGATTGTGGGCCAAAATAATTCCCGGAATTCCTTCCTGGATTTCCCGGAAAAGCCAAAAAACCTCGAACAAATGCAGTTTTTGCTCCATATCTCCGCAACCAGACAACTTAGCGACTTGAAACATTTACCAATCGATTCCTGCCATAATTTAGACTAATATTGCCGAAGAAAGTTTTCAAAAATATCCTTTCGTTCGGTCACAAAAAATTAATTAAGAACATTTAAACTGAGCGTCGTGTAGGTTTTTAGCCTAAAGCGGAGGTTCGAAAGGATATTTAAAAAATTTCGTTAATAAATATTTTTTCTATTTTGTTTTGAATTATTAAAACTACTTGTGTTGCATTATTTATTTGCTGAATATATGATTTATCTCGATTTAAAATTGTTATGGATAACTCCTGGATAACATAAGGAAATTGCGCTTAAATTGTCACTAGACTTTTTAATAACTTGTTTTTGCGTGTTAAAGAAACTCCTGTTGATTTTTCTCACTTTAGAGAATGACGCAATCTGGATATTTGTTTGCATGGACCAATCAGAAAGTTAGATCACGCGTCTAAAAATACACCATTAGTAAAGTTAACAAGTTGCATCAGTCACTTCGATGTACATAACATTGAGGAGTTGCCGATTATTGAATTGAAAAAGGTAAGTTAATACAAAATTAAAAATTTTCCGTCATTCTTTTTTATATACACCAGTGTCAATTTGTTTATTAAAGCGAGTCATGAAATTGAATTTCCAAAGTTGTATCAATTATGAAAGCAAATAATGAATTGAAACACTTAAAACCATTTCTATTTTCTTCCTGCAAATACTTGCTGCCATGTAAGATAATCGAGAAAATTCATGTAGTGAAATTTTAGAAACGGGATCCTACTAGATCTAATACATCTTTTTAAAAGCAACAACGCAACATTTGATGATACTATAAAAATATGTTAACTTAATATAACCAAGAAGTAGGCTACATAAGACACGGCGGTGTTCACGCGAGATTGGAGTCACATTATAGTTTAGACTTCACACGCACGAACATATGAAATCTATATATATTATAAAGCAATGTATGTGTGTTTGTCTGTCTGTCTGTTTGTCCTTTACGCATTACTACACCTCTCATCACATCGCCGGGAAGTTGTTGTGAAGATTCCTGGGGAGGTTTCTGCGGAAAAAAAAAAATTTAAATTCGCAGGGGTGGCGCCCCGGCAGGGCGCGATTTGTTTTTCTCTATATACGGTATATAAAAATAAAAGTCGATTTTTTATTTTGACACCATTCATCTGATCGCTATCAAACTTTGGTGAGTTCATTAGAACACTTTAAGGAAGGGTTTTGTAAAAAAAATCGTTTTTAATTTCACAAGGGCGGCGCCACCGGAGGTTGCGATTTTTCTCTATATACCGTATATAAAAATAATAAAAGTGAATTGCCGTGACACCGTTCACACCACGATCGCCATGAAAATTTGGGAAGATGTTTTGAGAATACTCCTGGGGAGGTTTCTGCGCTAAAAACATTTTCAAATTCGCAGGGGTGGCGCCCCGGCAGGGCGCGATTTGTTTTTTTCTCTATATATGGTTTATAAAAATAAAAGTCCATTTCGGTTTCATACCGTTCATTGGTGTACTATGAAACTTTGGGGGAGATGAATAGATCACTCAATGGTAGGGTTTGCAAAAAAAAAAATATTTTTTAATATTGCAAGGGCGGTGCCCCCGGGGTAAGCGATTTTTCTCTCTATACACGGTATATAAAAAATAAAACTCGGATGCGGTTCATCGGAGTGCCATGAAACTTTAAGTAGTAGATGAGAATACTCCCGATAATATTTCTGCGAAAAAGAAAACTAAAGTTTCTTATGGGCGGCGCCATGTAGGGTACAATTTTCGTCAATACACGGTTTGGCGCCCAGAGTTTTAGAGCGACTATGTTGGCACTTGGCACCCGTTAATCGAGCGTCCTGCATAGCGAGTAAGGGGTACTACTATATTCAGCGGTAAAACAACAGGCTTTTAAAAAAATAACTTTGTAACGCGAGGAAATCCTGTAAAGTTTCGTCACCTTGTGAAAGATGAAAAATTAACTTTTTGAATATGAGGAGCCTACTGTAGAGTTTCGTCACTTTGCGAATGATGCAATAAGCATCTATTATTAGACGATTCAGTCAGAAATTGAGATCGAGCAACTTATAATAGACCATTAGTAATGCTAGCATATTGCATCAGTCACACTGATGTTTAAAACACGTCAAATAATTTTTTTTTACGTGTTAAAGAAAAAATTTCTGTTCATTTGTGTCACTTTAGCGAATGACAAAATCTGCGTCATTATTAACAGGATGCTATTGGCACGCTGGGTTATCCAATGAGCACGATGGCGCCTGTTAGTTTTAAGGAGCCAGGGGCCGTACGCTGCGCCTATGCGGTAGTGTAATTGGGGAGGGGGGGGGCTCCTGAGAGCGCCCCTCTACGTCCCTGACACATGGATGGTCACCGAAGTGTGTTCTACCTCATTATTTCGGTGAGTGATTAATGTACACTCAAGGTTTTCATGCGGTAGTGTAGGAAAACCCGTGTCCCGATAATTATTATCCAAGCGCAGGCATTGTTAACATTTAAATAACACAGTTTTAGAAAAGAAGGACACGCGTCTAAGAACATATGATTGGTAATGCATTGGTGATATCCTTCTAATATATTTCGTCAGACTTTCTTCTATCCCCGAGACAACGCGCGGGGGGCGGGTACGCTAGTAAATATATATATATATGTATATATATATATATATATATACAAATATACATATATAAATAAATTTAAAAAATATTTATTATATTATTATTATATTATATTATTATTATTTATTTATTTTTATATTAATTTTTAAGTTTATATATATATATATATATATATATATATATATATATATATATATATATATATATATATATATATATATATATATATATATATAGTTACTATTGTTGCGAGTTTGGCTCAAATTACCGCACAGACTTGCAACTAACTATTTTAATGAATAAATATATATGCTGCTATTTTCATTATCAATTCACCAGAAATTTAAACGGATCCACTTCAGCATAGATTCATCAATGGCTGTCAACCCAACTTTAGCACTTGGTATCGCCACCTGTTTCCTAAAAGACGAGAACCGCGAGAACTTCAGCGACTTCACAGTCTGTGTCGGCGACCGGACCTTCCAGTGCCACCGTTACCTCCTGTCCGCCTGCTCTGGATTCTTCCAGGCCCTGCTGAGGTCGGACATGAAGGAGAGAACAGAGAACGAGGTCACGCTTAAAGATGTTTCCCCGGACACGTTTCAACTGGTTCTTGACGTCATTTACAAGGCGGCTGACGTCCTGACTAAAGAGAACGTCATTGATGTCTGGCACGCTGCCTGCATGTTACAGATAGATTTCCTTACCAACTACACGGAAAGTTTTTTAACACCATGTGTTACTGTAGATAATTACTGGGATTTCTACACTAACGCGATTTTACTCAACTCAAGCATCGTTAAAAAATCTTGCCTTGATACAATGGCAACCAGCTTCATTGATCTTACCGGAACAGAACATTTCGTCGATATTTACTTTGACGATCTGTACGAAATTCTTAAACACAATAACTTGTGTGTGTGTCCAGATTTTGTCGTCCCAGCCATTGCTCGCTGGGTCAAGCATGACACTACAAACAAGGAAGCGGACCCAGGCACTGAGAAAGAAACTCAGGTGATTGAAGAGGAAGAAAACAACCGTTACGACTGTTTTGAAAAATTATTCAGCGCGGTGAATATGAAACAGCTTAGCAAGCAAGAACTTATTAATTTGATGACAGATCCTAAGCTAGCCGAACACAAAAACGCTGTCATTCACATCAACAATGTGGCAGCTCAAAGACTGGACACGACATGGCAATTTGGAGAGCCTACATATATTTACCAAAACGGCCGCAATACTTTAAATCCTGTCTTCAATTCTCAGAAATTATGCCAACATTGCAATCGCAAGTATACACCCAACATGTGAACATGGTTATACAGAAACTTAGAGTATAAACATTATCTATGAAGGGGGTTAGATTTTTGCGTTTTTATATTTTGAATTTAAAATAAATGTTGCATTAATCATTGCGTAACTCTTTTTAGAGCTTATTTATCTATCTATCTATCTATATATAAAGAGCAATGTATGTTTGTGTGTCTGTCCTTTACGCATTACTACACCTCTCATCACATCGCCGTGAAACTTTGGGAAGTTGTTGAGAATATTCCTGGTAAGGTTTCTGCGAAAAAAAATATTTCAAATTCGCAGGGGTGGCGCCCCTACAGGGCGCGATTTGTTTTTTTCTATATACGGTATATAAAAATAAAAGTCTATTTTGATTTCACACTGTTCATCCGATAGGCATGAAACTTCGGGGAGTTGATTAGAACACTCTATGGAAGGGTTCTGTACAAATAATCATTTTTAATACCGCAATATATATATATATATATATATATATATAACCTTGTATTGGCTTCAACCATGTTGCCGTTATTATTAAAATGTGATTTATGCGGCGGTGTATGTAGCCGGGCGACAAAACTTTCGCTTCCCGTTGGGTAAAAAAAACTGTCAGCCCGGGAGCTAAAAAAAAATCATGTCAGGCTGTCTATGACAAGACTTATTGGAGGCAGGTATTGATCCAACATACATTGGCTTTTTAAAAATACAAAAAATAAAAACAACTTCAAGGGGAAAGCACTGCAACTTGTAACGCCACACGAGTTCAGTCCCCTGATTCAGTTGGACGTCATTGGGGTTAAGAAATTAATGGACGAAATAAATGATAAATGGATAGTCGGGTGAAAGTAATAAATTACATTAGGTAAAAAATATTACAGACGAAGATATGGGAAAAATAAGTATGGTATATGTGGAGATGAATTAAGAAAATTGTAAAAAAGAAAAGTGAAATTAAAACAAAAAATAACACGTTGTGAAAGAAAAATGTTGATAAATTAGATAAAAATTTCTGAAGTGAAAATAATAATTGCAGTAATTTCCCTTACATTCCCATTTGATAGAGAGGCGGGATAATGCTCATACAGGCAGAAGATTTAAGCCCAAAATGAAGTGGGGGGGGGGGGGGTATTGATTAATCAAGTCTTGTTTTTAACCACTCAAATCTCGTGTAATCTCACAACCACGTTGTTGTATTCTCACCAAATCTCGTGTGTTATTGCACATTTTAGGGTAATGTACGGCACTCTTTCCACACTACCCCCCCTCTCCAACCCGACGCATAATAGATATCTTTGATCAAATTTAAAATAGTTCCAAAGAGGACGATTGTTTTCCAAATAGTATTGAAATCTTGAACATTTTTGTCAAATATTAACTGAACAATGAGATCGGCAATTTCCTGAAACTTTACCACAATGATGATTGATTTTTTTTATTTTCTCCAGTTTTCACAATGTTATTTGTCACATTTTTGAAACGACGCGCAATATCAGAGCTCGTACATTCTATAATGCTGCTTTTTAAAAAAATCTTATAAATGTTTACAATCTTGTACAGTTTCCTTTCTCGCACATTTTCAAATCTTGGTTATTTTTAAAAATTTGCGTATAAATAAATCTGGTATATTTGCCAAATCTCGCTTATTTCCCAAACTCTCGTTCGTTCTGAATATCGTGTGGAGCAGATCTCGTAAAGTCTCGCCCTGTCTTTGATATCAGTCACATGACATGAAGGCTAATGTCAGTTCCAGCAACCATCGGGCATACAGATTTACATATCTAAACACAAACATACAGATTTACAACTCTAAACACGAACATGTAGATTTACAACTCTAAACACAAACATGTAGATTTACATCTCAAAATACGAACATACAGATTTACAACTATAAACACGAACATACAGATGTACAACTCCAAACACGAACAAGTAGATTAAGAACTCATCTCAAACACAGCCATCATACTCCTACAATTATATCAACATCATTACAAAGCTGTTTCAAATATAAATTTTAAAGTAAAATGTATCTAAACCCCAAGCTAGATATAAAGTTGAAAAAAAAAGTCAAATTAGTAGTTCAAGTCCTTACAAAGGGATGGTAAACACGGCCTAATGAGTGTCTCGAGAAAAACAGAGACCTGGTCTAATTTGCCGGCCTACACGTCAGTTCCTGGACAATTAGAATCTAAAAGCAGATCAAAGTTAAAAAAACATTTACATTGCGGATTCGTCGAAAAACATCTTAAAATGTTTGTGATTAGAATCCGTGAATGTGGGAGAGTGTGTGTGTGGGGGGGTGGGGGTGGGGGGTGGGGGTGGGTGGGGGAAGGAGGGGCCGGGGTGAGATAATTAAATGTGTTTTCTAATAATTACGTGGTGGTCAACATGTGAAGGACGTAGGTCAACACATTTTGATGTCAACAAATTTCGAACAGTCAACAAGCGATGAATAAGTTAAGACATTATGACTTAAAGTCAACAGTTATGTACTTAATTCAACAAATTATATTTTTGAGTCAACAAATATGAACTGAAATCAAGAAACAATACACTCTTCAAATCTTGAAAGCTTCAGAAAAATGTACGGGATATTAAGGATGCTTGTTTCAAAAATTCACTTTTAGATTCCTGGATCCTAGAAGACATGTTCGTAGTGCCAAATGTGTCTGTTGCAGGCGTCTGATATGTTTGGAAACTGAAGACCATGCAATATGTTTACTTGAAAAATTAGGCACCACGAGTTTGCCTTGTGTAGTCGTAGGCCAATCGTCACCGCAATTTGGCCATCTGGAGTTAAAATCCTTCGTCGTACCCAGTTGTTAGCTTTGGGTACCTGACTCACGTTAGGGAGAGTAAAGGCGGCGGGGCGTAGAGCTGACTACGCTGTACCTTTAAATGCCGTGGTTAATAATACATATGAACTCTACTTTATCTGCGCTATTAATCTTCAGCTCCTAAAGACGGGGTAGGGAGGGGGGCGGTTGACTTTTACCCAGACGCTAAGTATTCGCCAACTCGTTAAAATACAGTGCAAGTATAAAAAACCATTATAATAAGCTTTAAAATACACTGACCTTAGAAAGTAAAGCACTATTACTTTAGTTCTAGTTCTAAAATTAAAAGCATCGGTCGTTTAATTCGGATTGAAAATATTTCTAGAGCGACCAACGTTTTAACGTTTTCTATCACAGCTAAAGGAAATTAATGTTTATTTTCTTTTTAAATGCATCTAAAAGTTTGTTCTCTAAATATTTTTATGCATTTAAATTCACATAAATCAATAGCGAGCAATGGGTGAATATAGAGTAAGACGTGATTTAAGTTTTATAAAAACTTTTGTAGGATATGCCCTTAGCCATCTGCACATACGTATTTTGTAGGATATGCCCTCATCCATCTCTACACGTATTTTATAGGATATGCCCTCACAACTTTTGTAAGATAAGCCCTCAGCCATTTACACAGAAATCTGACGCTATCCACTCTACCACCATCTCCACACACATACATCTGACGCTACCATCCCTACCAGCACCATCCATCAACAAGCCGGCACGACAACAACAAATCGCCGGCGGCTGATTCCGTCTCAAGAAAGATGGTTCAAATCACACCCGTGTCCCGGCTTAATTCCAGATTCCTAAATTGATTTCTCGCCAGCCAATTGGATAAATTAAATTGACGAAATTAGTTCACCTCCACCCTGCTGGTCGCCAAGTTGTTGGAGGCTGAGATATGGGGTGTTATGGGATATGGGGGTGTGGTGGGATATGGGAGTGTTATGGGATGTTATGGGATATGGGTGTGTCATGGGGTATGAGAGTGTTATGGTATATGGGAATATCATTTGATGTGGGAGTGTCATGGGATGTGATAGGAGTGTTATGATATATGGGAATGTCATGGGGTGGGTGAGTGCCATGGGGTATGGGGTGTGACGGGGTGGTGGGATTCGGGAAAGTCATGGGATATGGGAGTGTCATGGGATATGGGAGTGTCATGGGATATGGGAATGTCATGGGATATGGGAATGTCATGGGATATGGGAATGTCATGGGAATGTCATGGGATATGGGAATGCCATGGGATATGGGAATGCCATGGGATATGGGAATGCCATGGGATATGGGAATGCCATGGGATATGGGAATGTCATGGGATATTGGAATGCCATGGGATATGGGAATGCTATGGGATATGGGAGTTTTATCGGATACGGGAGAGTGATGGGGTAAGAGAGTGTCTTTGGATATGGGCGTGCAATTAGAATACCACGAGAATGGAGTATCCAGAAATATTGCAGGCTTTTAGTCTTGGGGTACCGGATCTTGTCCAGGTAAGCACCTGGTACACCGGCGAAAGGTAAGCCCCCCCCCCCCCCCCCCCCCCGTGACTTATGACCTACTTCTGATGTTGAATATTTAAACGCAAGCCAAAACAACTTCTTACCCGCCTCTAGGGTAATGGTTAGGGTTGGGGTTAGGGCTAGGGCTAGGGTTAGGGTTGGGGCTAGGGTTAGGGTTGGGGTTAGGGTTAGGGTTGGGGTTAGGGATGGGGTTAGGGTTGGGGTTAGAGTTAGTGTTGGGGTTAGGGTTGGGATTAGGGTTGGGGTTGGGTTGAGTTGGGGCTAGGCTTAAGGTTAGCGTTAAAGGTACCAAAATACCGATTTTTTAAATGCAAATTATTTGTGACATGTCCCAATTTTACCTTCTTCAACAAAATCTAAAAGTACAAGTTTCATGTCCTCTCTTTTATAATCTTGTTTTTTTTTGGTGGCGGAGGTTTTGACTTTTTGGCGAGACTTATCTGGAGAAGATCCGGGGTATCTGGGGAAACGGGAACTCAACAGGATATGTCTTATTGCCATATCCTGTCATCTGCCATTAGAGCATACGAGTTGGGGGTAACTGACACTGTACATGTGTGGAAGATTAGACAAGCAAGGACAGCTTGAAGGTCCAGGGAAAGAACGTTAACGCAGGCTGCACATTCAGCTCTACAAGAGTAATCTTACCTTGATCTCTTACATAGAGGGCGTACCAGTGAACAAGTATTTACGTGGTAATTTTGTTTAGGATAGTGTTGAGGAGTGAGGGAGGGTGGGGAAGAAAGTGTGAGGAAGACAGGAGGGGATGGGGTCAAAAGGAGGTGTTTGTGTTTTGGGGGGGGGGGGGGAGGGGCTGCGAATGAACTATTCACCTGTTGATATGCATGCCATATAATTTGCCCCCCCCCCCCCCCCCCAATGCATGTCTGAGAAATGACCCTCTTCCGCGTCCGTCTTTACCTTCATCAAATGATTGTTAAAGACAACAGAAATCTTAAGCTGTTATTAATTTCTCCCAAAATCGATAGGTCAAGGCCAAATAATTCGCGAGCTGAAGTCCCAACATCTCTGTTCTACAGCCCTGCCCCAGTCCTTACAGCCCTCGTTCTTACAGCCCTGCCCTCGTCCTTACAGCCCTCGTCCTTTACAGCCCTGCCCCAGTCCTTACAACCCTCGCCCTTACAGATCTGCCCTCGTCCTTACAGCCCTGCCCTAGTCCTTACAGCCCTCGTCCTTACAGCCCTGCCCTCGTCCTTACAGCCCTCGTCCTTTACAGCCCTGCCCCAGTCCTTACAACCCTCGCCCTTACAGATCTGCCCTCGTCCTTACAGCCCTGCCCTCGTCCTTACAGCCCTCGTCCTTACAGCCCTCGTCCTTACAGCCCTCGTCCTTACAGCCCTGACCCAGTCCTTACAGCCCTCGTCCTTACAGATCTGCCCTCGTCCTTACAGCCCTGCCCTCGTGCTTACAGCCCTCGTCCTTACAGCCCTGCCCTCGTCCTTACAGATCTGCCCTCGTCCTTATAGCCCTGCCCTCGTCCTTACAGCCGTGCCCTCGTCCTTACAGCCCTGCCCTCGTCCTTACAGCCCTGCCCTCGTCCTTACAGCCCTGCCCTCGTCCTTACAGCCCTGCCCTCGTCCTTACAGCCCTGCCCTCGTCCTTACAGCCCTGCCCTCGTCCTTACAGATCTGCCCTCGTCCTTACAGCCCTGCCCTCGTGCTTACAGCCCTCGTCCTTACAGCCCTGCTCTCGTCCTGACAGCACTGCCCTCGTCCTTACAGCCCTGCCCTCGTCCTTACAGCCCTGCCCTCGTCCTTACAGCCCTGCCCTCGTCCTTACAGATCTGCCCTCGTCCTTACAGCCCTGCCCTCGTGCTTACAGCCCTCGTCCTTACAGCCCTGCTCTCGTCCTGACAGCACTGCCCTCGTCCTTACAGCCCTGCCCTCGTCCTTACAGATCTGCCCTCGTCCTTACAGCCCTGCCCTCGTGCTTACAGCCCTCGTCCTTACAGCCCTGCCCTCGTCCTGACAGCACTGCCCTCGTCCTTACAGCCCTGCCCTCGTCCTTACAGCCCTGCCCTCGTCCTTACAGCCCTGCCCTCGTCCTTACAGCCCTGCCCTCGTCCTTACAGCCCTGCCCTCGTCCTTACAGCCCTGCCCTCGTCCTTACAGCCCTGCCCTCGTCCTTACAGCCCTGCCCTCGTCCTTACAGCCCTGCTCTCGTCCTGACAGCACTGCCCTCGTCCTGACAGCACTGCCCTCGTCCTTACAACCCTGCCCTCGTCCTTACAGCCCTGCCCTCGTCCTTACAGCCCTGCCCTCGTCCTTACAGCCCTGCTCTCGTCCTCACAGCCCTCACATATGCATTGGTTACGCGTGAAATCGATGACATATTTTAGCGACCAATGCTTTGATGAAAGGAAAACCTAGGCAAAAAGTTGACCTCGAAATTCCAGCAGTGAATGACAAGGTGTTTACCCGAGCGCAACAGAAGCCACAGTGTGCTCGCGTCTAAACTAGATAGATATAGTGCAGCACTGAACTGGTACACACCCTCGGTCTATCAGCCCCGGGGGTGGGGCGGGGAGGGTAGAGTGTAGTTGAAAGGGGAGAGAACTGGGAGTAAATCTAAGGGCAAAACTCCCAGGGTAAAGTGATGTTGGGGGTTGGGTGACATGAAATGATTGGATTCTGTCCCTGCTCGGAATGTGTACCCAAAAATGGACAGTGACGGAGCTTAATCTCGGAGTTAAATGTTTATTTAACCAGAGTTTCGGCTTTGTCGGCTCGGTAAAGCTTATGGCTGCTGAACCGAAAAGTCCCGAGTTCCAACCCCGGGCAGTTGAGGCTCGATGGCTGGGGACAGCAGTTCGTCTAGGGGAGACAACTCCAAAATAAAACAACTGCTGCCTTGTAGTTTGTTCTTGGTTGGACAAAGGCTATGGAAGCTAATTCAGTACGGGATCGACTCTGCTGCTGGGGGGATACGGACTATGGTCAAATGTTGGGATATGGTCAAATGTTGGGATATGGTCAAATGTTGGGATATGGTCAAATGCTGGGATATGGTCAAATGTTGGGATATGGTCAAATGATGGGATATGGTCAAATGTTGGGATATGGTCAAATGTTGGGATATGGTCAAATGATTGGATATGGTCAAATGTTGGGATATGGTCAAATTTTGGGATATGGTCAAATGTTGGGATATGGTCAAATGTTGGGATATGGTCAAATGTTGGGATATGGTTAAATGTTGGAATATGGTCAAATGTTGGAATGTGGTAAAATGTTGGGATATGGTAAAATGTTGGGATATGGTCAAATGTTGGGATATGGTCAAATGTTGGGATATGGTCAAATGTTGGGATATGGTCAAATGATGGGATATGGTCAAATGTTGGGATATGGTCAAATGTTGGGATATGGTCAAATGTTGGGATATGGTCAAATGTTGGGATATGGTCAAATGTTGGGATATGGTCAAATGTTGGGATATGGTCAAATGTTGGGATATGGTCAAATGTTGGGATATGGTCAAATGTTGGGATATGGTCAAATGTTGGGATATGGTCAAATGTTGGGATATGGCAAAATCTTGTTGGATATGGTCAAATTTTGGGATACGGTCAAATGTTGGGATATGGTCAAATGTTGGGATATGGTCAAATGTTGGGATATGGTCAAATGTTCGGATATGGTCAAATGTTGGGATATGGTCAAATGGGATATGGTCAAATGTTGGGATATGGTCAAATGTTGGGAAATGGTCAAATGTTGGGATATGGTCAAATGTTGGGATATGGTCAAATGTTGGGATATGGCAAAATCTTGGGATATGGTCAAATATTGGGATATGGTCAAATGTTGGGATATGGTCAAATGTTGGGATATGGTCAAATGTTGGGATATGGTTAAATGTTAGGATATGGTCAAATGTTGGGATATGGTCAAATGTTGGGATATGGTCAAATGTTGGGATATGGTCAAATGGTGGGATATGGTCAAATGGGATATGGTCAAATGTTGGGATATGGTCAAATATTGGGATATGGTCAAATGTTGGGATATGGTCAAATGTTGGTATATGGTCAAATGTTGGGATATGGTTAAATGTTAGGATATGGTCAAATGTTGGGATATGGTCAAATGTTGGGATATGGTCAAATGTTGGGATATGGTCAAATTTCAAGACTGGTCCCTTTATAATTTGGAGGATGTCGTACCGTTGCTGACGAGGTTGTCGTAAAATGTGCTGTCTGTTATCGATTTATCTTGACTAAAATGTCGTTAAGTTAGTCGCCTGGTTTAACTTAACCAAATTTGTTTGCTCAATCCCCTAAAGCCAGAACAAACAAAACAAATCCCATCCCATAAGGGCGTCAGGACTGAGACGCAGAGTCAACCAGAGTCAGTGACTCCCAGTGACGCTGCCCGAGTCGAGAAGTTAATGACTGTAATATTTACAATTTCTGATTGGTTGACTCTCCAGGCTCGAGGCAGACGGCGTGTTATGATTGGATGAAATCTCGAGGGCGCGCGTCCATTCGTCACACATCAAATCGCCGTCTGACTTGGTTACGGGGTGGGGTAGGGTTGGGAAGGAGGGGGGATAGGGTTCTGCAATGTTTTTTATTTTTACAAATTTCAACTCTAAAATTTCATTACAAAAATGTAGAAAAAAAGACGAACCTATGAGAAAATGACAAGAATATGACGAGTCTATGACAAAATGACAAAAATATGACAGACATTACACCATGACAAGCGGGTTGGTTGAATAAGCTCAATAGTTTATTCAGCCTAAATAAGTACCCGACATGAGTGAAAAGGGTCGTGCATTTGAAGACCCCAAAATTTGAAGCCAGTAGTGTGCTAAACTACTTTTGAAATCTTGGAAAGCCTACGATGGTAAGCCTGAGAAGGTAAGCCTGAGATGGTAAGCCTGAGATGGTAAGTCTGAGATGGTAAGCCTGAGATGGTAAGTCTATGATGGTAAGTCTGAGATGGTAAGCCTGAGATGGTAAGCCTGAGATGGTAAGCCTGAGATGGTAAGCCTGAGATGGTAAGCCTGAGATGGTAAGCCTGAGATGGTAAGCCTGAGATGGTAAGCCTGAGATGGTAAGCCTACGATGGTAAGCCAGAGTTGGTAAGCCTACGATGGTAAGTCAGAGATGGTAAGCCTGAGATGGTAAGCCCGAGATGGTAAGCCTGAGATGGTAAGCCTGAGATGGTAAGCCAGAGATGGTAAGCCTACGATGGTAAGCCAGAGATGGTAAGCCTGAGATGGTAAGCCTGAGATGGTAAGCCTGAGATTGTAAGCCTGAGATGGTAAGCCTGAGATGGTAAGCCTGAGATGGTAAGCCTGAGATGGTAAGCCTGAGATGGTAAGCCTGAGATGGTAAGCCTGAGATGGTAAGCCTGAGATGGAAAGCCTACGATGGTAAGCCTGGAATGGCAAGTCTATGATGGCAAGCCTGAGATGGTGAGATTGTAAAATACGATGGTAAGCCTGAGATGGTAAGCCTACGATGGTAAGCCAGAGATGGTAAGCCTACGATGGTAAGCCAGAGATGGTAAGTCTACAATGGTAAGTCTGAGATGGTAAGCCTACGATGGTAAGCCAGAGATGGTAAGCCTACGATGGTAAGTCTGAGATGGTAAGCCTACGATGGTAAGTCTGAGATGGTAAGCCTGAGATGGTAAGCCTCAGATGGTGAGATGGTAAAATACGATGGTAAGCCAGAGATGGTAAGCCTGCCTACGATGGTAAGCCTGGAATGGTAAGTCTATGATGGTAAGCTTCAGATAGTAAGCATGAGATGGTAACCTTTAGATGGTAACCATGATATGGTAAGCATGAGATGGTAAGCCTGAGATAGTAGGCTTACGATGGTAAGCATGAGATGGTAATCCTACGATGGTAAGCTTGCTATGGTAAGTTTTCTACCAAAGGTTAGCCATAAAAACGAACCAACAGCATCTGAAATTCCACAGTGAAGTAGTCATGAAGGTGGGTCATGGAGGTGGGTCATGGAGGTGGGTCATGGAGGTGGGTCATGGAGGCGGGTCATGGAGGTGGGTCATGGAGGTGGGTCATGGAGGTGAGTCATGGAGGTGGGTCATGAAGGTGGGTCATGGAGGTGGGTCATGGAGGTGGGTCATGGAGGTGGGTCATGGAGGTGGGTCATGGAGGTGGGTCATGGAGGTGGGTCATGGAGGTGGGTCATGGAGGTGGGTCATGGAGGTGGGTCATGGAGGTGGGTCATGGAGGTGGGTCATGGAGGTGGGTCATGGAGGTGGGTCATGGAGGTGGGTCATGGAGGTGGGTCATGGAGGTGGGTCATGGAGGTGGGTCTGGGAGGTGGGTCTGGGAGGTGGGTCTGGGAGGTGGGTCATGGAGGTGGGTCATGGTGGTGGGTCATGGAGGTGGGTCATGGAGGTGGGTCATGGAGGTGGGTCATGGTGGTGGGTCTGGGAGGTGGGTCAGGGGTTTGATAGGGAAGGTGGGTCGGGGATGTTGTACGTCAAATGTTAGAGTCATCAACAGAACATGGCGGGTAAAGAGATGTAACTTCTAAACACCATGTTTATAGGGGGGGGGGGGTATTGTAGGGTGGGAGTGTTTTGGGGAGGATGTTATGAGGGGTGGGCTCTCGTAAATTTTGATGTATGATAAAAACATCACACGATAGATCACCACCAACTGTTTCCTCAGAGAGAGGGGACGGGAATGAAATAATGGGAGAGTGGGGAGGAGGGAACGTTCACCAAAACTTGTAACAACAGTTGTGAATAAATTTGCATATTAAGTACATCTGTCTCAGATGGTAAGAAGGGCGGGCGATAAGGGCGTGGGGCTGATGCGTGGGGTGGGGGTGGGTATCCCAAAGGCGTGGGCTTAATGTGTGTGAGTGTGTGTGTGTGTGTGGGGGGGGGGGGGGATATCAGGGGCGTGTAAATGGGGTGTATGAAGAGGAGTTGGGCTGTAGCTAGGGTTCGTTCATCACAATGCCGTCTCTACCATGCAAACTTATTTGGCTCCGCTCCTGAAGCTCTAGTCCCCGGCTTTCACTGACCCCCCCCCCCCCCCCCCCAGCAAATTATTGTGTCTCATCATATCCGTCAAGTGTATATTCAAGGGCAGTTCTTGCATGAACAATTCAATCTACCCATAAGTGTAAACGCCAATTAAATAACAATACATTTCAAAATTTTCGACCCATGCACAATGTCGCCTACAAACCTT